ATTTATTTTTATTTATTTATACAAGCACTGGGTACAGTCAGAAGCGCGGGAGGGTGAGAGACTTCACCAGAGCCAGAGCAGGGAGCAGAGCAGGCAGAAGGACCGAAGTACACTGCTGAGGGGAGCAGCGGGCGGCAGGAGAGGTCTGCGCGCCATGTGGGACCCTCCTCCAGTGGCCGGGGAGCAGCCGGGGATCGAACCGGCGCTGCAGAGTCTGCGGGCAGCTTCGCAACCCAGCGCTCAACCGCTGCGCCACCGGGGAGGCCCAATGCCTATCTTTCTTGATAACCTATTTTTAAACAAGGACATACAGATTTTTTTTCTCCCTGCACCTGCCAGAAATTTGTTGAATGCAGACATTTAGTATTAATCATCTTAGTTGTTTTCAAAAGTCAAGAAGAGGGAAATTTTAATCAAGAAGTTGCTGGAGATAAATTTACCATTGCTGATAATTAGTCCTATATCACTATTTTTGACATTTGTGAGTAGTTGTTTGGGTAAGGGTCAGTGAAAAGCAATCTCTTTGGTAGAGGTTAAAAAAAAAAGGTCTTTTACTCCATTGTTCCCCTGTAGAATCAAAGGAAGCTCAATTGAATTGACAAAATGCTATTAGAACGGTATATCCTTGAAGATGTGGGTGGAAAAAACTGATGAAATTAGTCAAATAAGTCTTTCTATTTGGAAAGAAAATATTAAATTTAGTATTCTACTAGATAAAGTACAGAAAAAGAATGAGATCTTTAAAATGTCTCAGTTTTGGGGACATAAAAAAAATAATTAATCTGTTTTAGAGAAGTGATTGCACACTTATGTGTTAACAATCCTATCAGTAGATTAAATCGGGAAAAAACGGAAAGTTGTAATTATAGATCATCAAGAATAGAAAAAAATACAAGTACATCGTTGGTGAGATTTTATTTTCTTTTAATACATTTCTATAACTAGTACTTTCAACATCAGTTTTATATGTTTCAGTAAAGTTCTGTCGTAACAAATTCATCCATTTATAATTTGATTATTTTTTGGTTTGTGAATCCCTCTCCTCATTAATGTTAACTTTCGCCAAATTATGTATTAGAATTAAATTCCTATTGCGCTGCATTCACAAAAATTTGCCTTAAGATTTTTTTTTTTTCATTTAGCATTTACATACCCCTTCCCCACTTTTATGAGTATGTATATGTGGGAATGTTTTAAAGTTTGTTACCCCTCTGTAAAGACTGTTAGAAAACTGTTTTTATTTAAAAATTGCATGCTGTATTTTTATCAGTATAGTTGAATTGAAAGGATTTGTTACCTCTAATCATTGAATCAATTTAGCTTTCTAATCCCATAACAATGTGTACTTGTAATAATAAAGATTTGTGATTTTCAGGCTTAGTTGGTCTTTTAGTATTGCTTGGAAGTTCTATGATCTATCCTAAGTTTTTCTTTTCACACTTACTTTTCATGTATTTCACACTTACTCCCCTGTTCTTAAGTAGTGCCTTTGTCAGTCTTAAAAGATTATCCTGTCTCCTAATTCTGAGAGTGGGAGGAGAAGCAAGTGGTGGGAGGGAGAGAAAGAAAGGGGGAGAGATGAGGTGAGGGACAGAGAGATGCAGAGAGAGGATTTATCTGTATTTTTTCCCTTTTACCATAGCTAACATTGCTATGTGTGCTGTTATCGATTTTCTCTCAACTCTGCTTTTTAGCAACAACTCAATGTCAAGGAATTCCTTACCTTCATTGGGTTGAGAGTTTACTTAACACTGATTATATCCTCTTACTCAGTACTCAACTATATTCTTGTAAATGCCACCCTATTAAAATTTTATTTTTATTTAAAATTTTTAAAATATTTATTTATGCGTATAAGAGCTAGGGTGCAGGCCAGAGGTGGGGGAGAGGTAAGAGGATTCACCAGAAACAGAGTGGGGAGCAGAACAGGCTGCAGGGAGCGGCAGGCTAGACAGGAGAGATCTGCTGGGCCTTGTGGGTCAGCTCCCTGGCCAAGGATGGAACTCATGCTGCAGTGGCTGCAGATAGCTTCATAGTGCTGAGACTGAACCCTTTGTGCCACCAGGGAGGCTCCTTGTTAAAATTTTAATTTGGCTTCTTTGCAATACAAAATCATACACTGTTGACAACTTATTCCCTTAAAAGTTAATTTTTTTGGTCAAGTATTAATGTAATTTAAACAGCCAACTAGTATGCTCCAAAGTTATTAGAGAAACAGTAGTATTCTTTCTTACCTCTTCCATTGCCTGATCTCTCAACCCAGAGGCAGTTACTTAGGGCTCCTTTTTTCTTCTTCCTTGTACCTAAATGAACACATTTACGTTGCTATTTATACTGCACTAATTTTGTATGCATATAGTAGTTTCAACCTATTTTTTATGCCTCTTGTCCTTTGGATTTCTTTAGATGTAGATTCAGTTTTTCATTTAAGCTTCTTTTTTGGTTCATTTAAATTATGTTTAGTAGAGTATCCTTTGAGTTATATTTTTGATTATTGAAGGGTGTAAATGCGTTCCTCTTATGCCAGATGAAAAAAGAAACACATAGTGAATAGATAAATTTGCGTCCTCTCTTAACTCAATGATACTCTCATGAAGTCTTTCATTTTCAACCTCACTGGTCCTTGACCTTTGTACTTCTTGCCCCTTCTGGCTGAAACAGCCTGTGATATCTTTAAATTCATACGGTGAAAGATCTCCCTCCCCAATGTTACGATTTTAGATGGGTCTGTGGGAAATAATTAGGAGTAAATGAAATAATGGGAGCTCTACCCTCCTGAGTGAGATTAATTCCTTCTAAGAGTACATAGAGAGCTGCTTTTCTCTTCTCTGTATGTGAAGATATAAGAAGACATCCATGTGTAAAACGGAAGCTAGGCCTTCATTGGATACCTAATCATCAAGCTTTCATTTTGTTTTCTTATAAGATTTTAAAAATTTTAGCTGTTACATTTAGGTCTTTGATCCCCTTTGAGTGAATTTTTGTTTATAATGTAATGGGCTATGTTCATTGTTTTGCATATGGATATTCCCACTCCTCCCTCTCTGCCATTTGTTAAACGATTTTTTTCCCCATTGAATGATCTTGGCACCTTACTGAATATCATTAATCTATATACAAGGATGCATTTTTGTTTGCAGGCAGACTGATGGATTCTGCCGTCTGCTGAATAAAGACAGCATACTCTTAGAGAATAAAAGCTTGAGTAGCAAAGAACTTAAACGCAGTTAGTGTGCATAGAGAGAAAGAATATAATTAAAATAGTTACCCCATTAAATCCCCGTCATTACCCATCTCCTGGTGGGTAAATGCCCAGCCAGACAGGATTGGTCCTCAGTTGGGCAGCTGAGGCTCAAAACCTTGGTATGAGTCTAAGGCACCCTCTGGTGGGGAACCATAGAGACGGAGTAGAAAGGGCCAGGCAAGTTTGGAAGGAAAAGGGTAAAATCAAAGGGGGTGCAAGTCAAGACAAAGACTGCCATTGCCAGCCTCGCACGGGTGTCTCAGCATGTCCTTGTCTCTTTCCAGTACCTGCTTCCTGTCCCCCAAGTCCCTGGCACGAGTTCAAGGTCGAGGAGCATGCTTGGCTGCTGCTTTTCATGTCTTCTCTGCTTTAACCACCCTCCTCCACATCTTCTTCCAGATAGCTCGTTTCTTCCTTCTTCTCCCAGTCTTTTTCTTGCTGCTCAGCCCCATCCTTCCTTGTGTAGAGCAGGGAACCTGAAACCTCCCCTTTCTATGGATATTACGTTCTTGTATTTTGGCTTTGTATTCTATTCTGTTGGCGTTGTTATCTTTCCTTTTGGCAGATCCACATTGGATTACTGTAGCTTTGATTTAATTTTTGAAATTAGGTCGTGTGAGTCCTCCATGTTTCTCCTTTTAAAGACTGTTTTGGTTATTTAGGGTTGTTTGATTTCTAGTGAATTTTGGGATGGTTTTTGTATTTTTGTAGATTAGTCATTGGGGCTGTTATAGAAATCCCATTGTTTCTGAATCATTTTGAGTATTATTGACATCTTAACAAATTAAGTCCTCTAGTTTATGAGCATAGTGTGTCTTTCCATTTATTTATATGTACTTTAATTTCTTTTCTGTAGTGCTTTATGGTTTTCAGTATACAAGTTTTTGCTTCTTTGGCTGCTTGTTTTTAAGTTATTTTGCTTTATTTTTTTATTCAATGCTATTTCATTTTTTTTTAAGATTTATTTATGCATACAAGAACTGGGGTACAGGCCAGGGTTGCGGGAGGTAAGAGGATTCACCTGACACAGAATGGGGAACAGAACAGGCAGACTGACTGAAACACACTGCTGAGGGGAGAAGCGGGCAAGACAGGAGAGGTCTGCTACACCTTGTGGGTAGCTTCCTGGCCAGCTGGGGATCAAACTCCTGCTGCAGAGGCTGTGGATGGCTTCACAGTGCTTAACCCCTTGTACCACCAGGAGGTCCCTCAATGCTTTTTTAAACCGCATTCTCACTTTCCTTTTAATATTGTTCATTGTTAGTATATGAAAACAATAGCATTTTTTTAGACATTAATATATGACATCACTGCATTACATCAGCTATCAGTATTCAGCAGTAGTCAGATGATTTGAACTGAATTCAAATGGAAACTAAAAATAGTAAAGAACTAATAATACATTATCATTTCTGAATTGAATCACTTTACTGTGTTTTAATTTAATCTTTGTTAAACAACCTAAGGTTTATATTTGTTTATATAACTGCACTAATTTAAAACTATAGACTGAAAGAATATCAGCAATTTGGAATTATCTTCGGTACAACTGAGTTTGAACTCTTCATAACCTTTTCATTCTTACAATATTTTTGGAGAGTAATTTAGAACTTATTGACCTTATTGTGCCTTATTGATACTTCTCTGAAAGTTGATGGAATTGTAATAATTTTGAATGCTTTTACATTTCAGTAGTATAAGATTAAATAAGATTATAGTTGATATATATATATTCCTCTTTTTTTTTAATTCACAGGCCACAGAAACCCTATTTAGAATGTGTGTCGCAAGAGGAATCATCACCACAATAAGAAATGGAGAAGTAAGATGGGAATTTGATATGATAATTAGTTCTTAATTCGCAGTATATAGTTTTAAAAATATATAACATGGTGAATTCTATAATACTTGACATAGCAAATTGAGGAATACCTGATATCCATAATGCTGAGTGAATCTGGCCTACAAATCTGTTTTAGCTTAGTCATATTGAACCAGATTTTGGGTTTAAAATAAATTGTGGGACCTTTTAACCTTTGGTCATCTATTGTTTTTACTCTTAAAAGAAAATAACATTGTATTTAATAATAACTTATGCAAATATATATACTTAATAAAATTAACCTAATACTTTTCCCTTCCTTCCTATTCTGTGTTCTGTAGATCTGATTCTTCTTTTTGAGGATAAAGTAATTAGAAATGTTGAAAGTTACGGCGGGGGGGAGGAGCAGTGAAATTTAGTCTGTTCTTTCTTGCAGTTGAAGTTATGAATTCTAAGTTTTGACTTTTCTAAATGCTCTTACAAATTATTAAAAAACAAAAAATCTACCACCTGAAAGAAATTTGTACTCTAAAATTATTACCAATCTAATTGCCATTCTGTCTTCTCTTTATTTATTCCCTCACCAAGACATACTTAGGTTCAAGTTGAATATTATGTCACATTGCTGTGTTTCCTTTTCTATTTTACTATACTTAAAGAAAACTAATATAGTATTTCTTATTCTGGAATTAAGTTCTATATAATTTAATGCAATATTTGTAAGTCAGTAACCTAAATATTTAATAATAGGAATTAGTGAATATTTAAGGAGCTAACTGAAATCGTATTACTGTATAACTATTATATAATTGTGTAAAATTTATCAGTTAATATATTTGCTCATTAGATTAAAATGTGCAGTCATTTTGAAATTACATACTCTTACATGTTTATATACATATATATAGAGAGAGTCAAATCACCTTGGTATTAATATAAAATATTATTTTTGTCTATGAAAAATACGTAATTAAACCCTTTGTATTCTTAATGAACTGCAGTATATAGTGTCATTTTGAGAAAAGAAAACATTTTAATAAGGTCAGACATATTTATCTTTCTAGAATATGTCAAAGTGAATTTCAGGTTTTAGTATTTACTATGTATTTTTTCATGGAGGGCACGATGCACTTTTGAACTTTATCTTCAGTTATAAGAAGGTTGGGGGAATATATACAGGGTGGTTTTTTATAAATAATCTGAGCATATCAGTGCACATTGGAGATATGTATGTATGTATGTATGTTATTTCACTTAATGTAGAGGAATTAGTTGAAGAAACTTTTGATCCACTTTCCCCCAGTTATTGTGGATTGCTCCAGGTGACTAAACTGGCTAACAGGTATTAATGTTGAATAAAGTGTTTAAGCACTCTTTGACTTTTTGTTTTTAGATGAGGTTAAAACCTTAAGGTGTATATAAGATCTCTTAAATCAATTGTTTCTGTTACATAAGATCTTGGAGAATGAAATGTGTCTATTTATTAATGGTACTAATTAATGGCATTAATTAATTTCATTGATTTTTCACATTTTAACTCATTATTTGTGAGAATCTTTATATAAATGTAAATTATAGAGTTAAGAAAATATGGTGGGGGCCTCCCCGGTGGTGCAGCGGTTGAGCGCTGGGTTGCAAAACTGCCTGCGGCCTCTGCGGTGCCAGTTCGATCCCCGGCTGCTCCCCGGCCACCGGAGGAGGGTTCCACATGGTGCGCAAACCTCTCCTGCCACCCGCTGCTCCCCTCAGCAGTGTACTTCGGTCCTTCTGCCTGCTCTGCTCCCCGCTCTGGCTCTGGTGAAGTCTCTGACCCTCCCATGCTTCTGACTGTTCCCAGTGCATGTATATACAAAACAAACAAACAAATAAATAAATAAAACATGCCTCTATTAAAAAAAAAAATATGGTGGTATTTTTAGTTACAAAAATTACTGCATGACATATAAGTATCCAGTAAATTAGGTAGCTGGGATAGGCCATACATTAGTTTTAATATATTTATTTAACTTTGGAAAGTAGATACTTAGGATAAACAAAACAAAAATATCATTGAATATGTGTATATAGAAGTGATATAGTATTTTGGAGATGGTAGCCTAAAGTGCTATGAAACTAGGTGATACTGTACGATTATCGCCAAGGTGCTTCCTCTCTTGGGGAGAAAACAATTGCTTAAATACTTGGGGGGAAAACATCCGGGAGAGAGTAGAATGCTTAGTTTAAGTTGAGCCTGAATGTAAATACTAGAATCTACATCTTCCTTGGAATGTGCTACATTTTGTTATCAAGGCAATAATAATTATTTGGGAGTAGAAGATAAACTAAAAGGTTAACAATTTATTGGATTATTTAAAACAGAAGCTTGAAATCACATGAATATCATATTAGAAAACTTATGATAAGCTAAGGTAGGAGAGTGGGAAAGAGTTTATTTATCCTGAGACATTAAAAAATTTGATTATTACTACAAAAATATCCCAATGCAATGATATCAGGTAGAAAGAAAGAAGACAGGTATATCCAAATTACAAAAATATCCAGCTTTGAGTAAATTTGTTGTTTGAGTGTATGGTGATACTGATCTTGGCTTGTCTATCTGTATTCCAACTAAAAGCCTGTGCTTTGCCTACTTATTGGACTACTTTTTTGCTTAGATTTCTTTTTTTTTTTTAAGATTTATTTATTTATTTATATAAGCACTTGGTTAAGTCAGAAGCGCGGGAGGGTGAGAGAATTCACCAGAGCCAGAGCGGGGAACAGAACAGGCAGACTGACTGAAATACACTGCTGAGAAGAGCAGTGGGAGCGGCAGGAGAGGTCTGTCACGCTATGTGGGACCCTCACCCAGTGGCCGGGGATTGAACCGGCGCTGCAGAGGCTGCGGGCAGCTTTGCAACCCAGGGCTCAACAGCTGCACCACCAGGGGAGGCCCCTGCTTAGATGTCTTAAGAAATGTTAAGATTAGAAAACCTGGTTCCCCACTCTGAAAGTAAGCAGATAGTTTTTGAAGGACTTTGAAATTTAATTTATAGTTATATGCATCATTGGAGGATTTAAGCAGAGAAGTTACATATTGTTGTCTTAATCCTTGTCACAGCTCTGCTAGGGAGAAATCATGTTCATTTCATGGATGAAACCAAGTCTCAGAATTAAACATTTTGCTTTTTTGCCTTTGATCAAACAGCTAGAAAATGATTTAGCTCAAATTTGAGCTGGTCTGACTCCAAAGTTCATTGATTCCACTGTACAATAAATATCTTCCTCAATGTAAACTAGAGTTCACGGGTCATTCACTAGACCTATAAGTTTGGCAATTGAAAAATAGCATAGTAGCTAAGACCTCTGTGGCTATCGGCCTTTGTTTGTATGGATTCTGAATATGTTATTTTTTCATATTGGTAGAGAAATACTTAGCTTAAAATAACTAGGAAAACAATACTGACCTTTCACAATTTTGTTTTATTACTGAACACCTGACTATTTTTATGTGTTCTTTGTAAAGTCTTGTAAATGGATTACCTGTATTCTTGTGTCTTGATTAAATTACAGACACTAGAAAGAAGATAAATTTTCTTTTGGGTAGAATTTGAAAGAATGGGTTCATTTTGGGGGAGGCTGGAAGGCTTTTAAAATAATAGCTATCAATGAATAGTTATTGGATATGCTTGACTTAAATATTCTACCTTTATAATTTCTTCAGGAAATGTATGATTCTGTCTTCATCTTTCCAGGACGTTTATGTGTAGTATGAAATAAGTATTTTTGTTAAAATACAAAGTTAATCTCTTAGTTTATGTATTTATAAAATTATCTGTTGTTCTTTTACATAACTTGAGACAAATTAGTATTTTTCATTTTCATTAGTGTTTTTCACTTTATTATTCTTAATTCACAATTTCAAAAGAGAACAGTTTTAATTAAAATCTGTGCTCTTTGTCGATCAGCTGACACTATCGCTCCACTTCTTATAATATCGATTAGCAATCATTACACTGAAAGTGTAATGAAGAAGGTAAATGACTTCTAATATTCAGTTGGTCAGTGATAGCTCTTTTATTGATTGATTTGTGAATTTCTAAAAATGATCAGGCACATTTAATTTCATTTTCCAGAAAGTTGAATTTTTCATATATGTGTCTTTAGCATTATATTTACAGTTTGGAGAGTTTCATGAAAGTAAGGAGAAACAGTCTGTGCCTCTTCATTCAGCAAGTATTTATTCAGCACCCTCTGTGTTCTTGGCATTGTTTTAGGTGGTTGTAATCCATCAGTGAACAGAAAAGACAAATATCTTTGCCTTTGGGTAGCTTATAGTCTAGTCCATTAATAACTTGTGCTCTAATTAAGGGAAAAAAAGAATACAAAGCTACTAGGGAGTAAATACAACTACAAAACTTCAAAAGAAGGTGTAATCAGTATAAAGGTTTAAAAGTACAAGCAATTTAAGTAATGAAGGTAGAAACAAGTAATTGCAGTAGAATTAAGTTCAGAAAATTTATTTGGAGACACATCTTAAAGTGAGCCTTGAAGAAATTTATGAGAATTATTGAAGGAAAAAAAGTAAAAAGACATTGCTAATTAGGTATTCTGTAAGTTTTATTAGAATGGAAACCTTTTTTGCTTTACTGGCGCATTTTTGAAATGACTTAGAATATTTAGGTTTAGTGTGATTGCCATAGTGAGGGTAGGTGCTCCTTGTTATGGATTTCTGTTTCTTCAGATTTAGCACCTGCTTACCACTCAGCACTTCAGTATATGTCTGATTTGATTTAGTAACTCTTAATTTAGATAAATATAGCCAAAAGTATATTTATAGATTTATATGTATATAAGTATAAATACTAGTGTAATCATGTTTCAAAATCATGAAGATTATTATAAAATATATTTTTATGGCAAGTTTTTTCATGAATTAATATTTGAAATTAAAATTAATATATTTGATATTCATACTTTTTAATAGTTACTTGATTAATTAGATATTAATACACATTTCCAAC